GGGGGGGCGTGGGGGGGGGGGGGGGGGTGCGGGGGGCAAGGGCCGGGGGTCGAGGTGACTGACGGGGGTGGGGGAGACGACGACCAAGGGCCGGGACGGAAGTGGGCAGGGCTCATTTCTTTTTCCAGCCTAGCCCCCCTCCCCTCCAAGTTCTTTTCTGCTCTTCCCTCTCCAACACCCCCCCCCACCCCCCAGGGCTCTGGCTTCAGCCTCAGCTGCCTTAGCAGCCCCCCGCGTTCAGGAGGATGTCTCATCCGCTCTGCTGGCAGAGTTCTTGAAGGTGAGCACTCCGAGATCCTCCCCCATTCTCCGCTAGCTAGAGAGTGCTTTGGAATGTCCCGCTCAAGAGGCACCCCTTCTCCCCCATGATGGTAAAGCCCATTGACATCCAGAGCTCAAAGAGAAACGTTCCCCACCCTCTGAGACCCTGACTTTAGGGGCAGCCCTCCTACTCGTGTGTAGCTTCTATCTGAGGTGAAGGTGTTTGGAAATGCATTCCTGAACCCTGCCCTCCAGGATTCAAGGAAGAAGGAGAAGTTGCTGTGGGGCCAGCTGCAGGTGGTAGATGCCCTTCAGGGATTCCTGGAGCACATGGACGTGACTGTGAACACCGAAGAAGAAATCCGTGAGAGCTCTAGAACCCCTTGTAGGGGTGGGGGCTGCCTGGAGGGACGAGCAGGGGGAGGCTGGCAGCAGGGAGAACTGAACTCCATTTCCCTCTTCCCTGGGCCAGGGGCAGAAGCCAGTGCAGCCCAACAGCTCTGGAAGGACCTGAAGGCTGAGCACCAGAGACAGGTGGAAGCCATTGAGGCTGCCTTGCCGCGGGCCCTAGAGCAACTGGAGGCCAGCCAGAGGAAGCAGGCTTTATTGGGGAGTGCTCTGAGGCAGGCCCAGGCCAAAAGGCAGGCTTTGGAGGATTGGCAGAAGATGGCCTGGGCCCGGTGGAGGCGAGAGCAGGTGAGGGCAGCTGAGGGCAGGTGAGGGCAGCTGAGGAAGGGAGAAAGCCAGGGCAGCAGCGGGATGGTGGCAGCCTCGCTTCTGTCCTCATAGGAAAAGCAAAGGCAGCGGTTAGTGGCTGGAGCCCAAGCCCAGAGTAAGCGCCTGGAAAATGCCAACAAACACAGGGAGCAGGGGCTGACGCTCCAGTATGAAGAACGAGAGAACGCCCGCAGGTAGGGATCTGCCTCTTGGGGCCCAAAGGGAGAGGTGGGAAAGAGGAAGGTGGCCAGGGGCCGGGCCTTCCACGGGGCTGGAGGAGGGCAGGGCGCTGAGTATCGGCCTCTGTTTGCACAGGCTTGGTGCCTTCCTAGGACTTCTGGAGATGCTGCACGGTGCTTCGGGGGATGGAAGAGACGGAAACCTCTCTGGAATGCCTGCAGCAAGCTCCCTGCAGTGACACCTCCCCACCTCCACAAAGGCGTGTCCAATAAAGGTCTCGGCTCTTTTTTTTTTTTTCTTTCCCAAGATTGATGAGGGGGGTGGAAACTGGCGTCTGCCGAGACCCCCCAAGGCTCTCTGCTCAGGCCACCGGGAAGATTGGAACCGGACTCCTTTAGACCACTCAGAACAAAGAATTCTGCCAGCAGTCACCAAGAGATCCCAGTCCTCCCGGAGGCCCCCTGGCTTCAAGTCTTCCCATCCCATGTTAACTCCTCCTTCTTCCTCTGTGTTCCCCCAGCCCACACCCAGTAGCTACACTCAAAAGGCATGCCTGTTGTTACCTCGAAGACCACATTGTTCAAAGCACTGCCCACCTACTGGGACCCAGCCTTCTTCCTCTAGCTACTTGGCAGTGCTGCCCTCCTCACTGGGGGCTACCAGGGTGGAGGTTGCCTTGAAGCTTCGTTTGCGCTTTTGAACATTCTGCTCAGGACGGAAGATGATGATGTACACCTTGGGCACATAGAGCATCCCCAGGGAGACCGAGGCACTGAGGCTCATCGACACAGTCAGTGTTGTCGTCTGGATGTATATCTGATCCAAAGAAAAGGGGTGTTGGCCCGGTCCAAACCAGCCGATCCACCCCCTTCCCTATCCTGTACCTGGGATGGCCCCCAGTGGCGAAAGGACAAGAGATGACTCTTCTGGGGAGGGTTTGGCCAAAAGGATAGATGGCATTTTGGGGGTTGGAAAGGATGGCCAGGTTAAAGGTCCAGAGGCAGGAGAGGGCCCATTATGGGCAGGGTGGAGGAGAAGGAAAAGGATGAATGAATAAAACCCACAAGTGAACACAGGATGAAATGAATGGTAACATGTGTGAACAGGTTAACGATGAGATGAACAGACACATGATGAAATTAATTGGTGACTATTCAAATGCAGAAGTGATTGAATCCTAGATTCTTCACAAGACTGCCAAGTGGGCAGGAAGTGGGGCGACACGCCAGTGCCGGGTCCTCACCTTCTCGGCAGATTGGGCTGTGCCGAAGAAGATGGGGACAAAGGCAAGCCACACGATACAGGTGGTGTACATGGTGAAGCCAATGGGCTTCGCCTCATTGAATGTCTCTGGAACCCCACGAGCTTTGATTGCATAGACCGTGCAGGTCACCATGAGCACCAGGCTGTAGCCAAGGCAGCCAATCAGGGAGAGATCTGACATGTCACACTTGAGGACCCCCCGAGCTCGTTCCGGGTCTGGTGTCCGCTGTTCTTCGTAGTCGATGACACTGTGTGGTGGCTGGAAACCCAACCAGGTTACTACACCTATGACCTGAAAAGACATGAAAAATCAGCTTTACGGGAAAGCCAGTTTAGAGAATCTGTCACATTTTCCACTCTAAAAAGAACCCACTTAAGGCTGGTGACCTACGTTACAGGAAGAGATTCTTGACTTTCTAGTGCCTTAATCATTTTTTTAAAGGAGACCCTTCTTAAGAATGGAATTTACCAGAATGGGTTCTTTGTCTTACCAAAAAAGGCGCCCCCTCTTCCCCAATTCCTAGGGACTTTGGCCTTGCCACAGTAGTGTAGGGACTCGATTGAGAGGGCATAGAAAACAAACCTGCACAGAAGTCAGGCTGAAGGTGATGACGAGCTGTGAGGTGGGGCTGATGAAGGGTGGGGGAGTGACAGACCTCTTGCCACGCTCAAAGATGCGGTAGATGCGGTTGGTCTTGGTGAGCAGGGCAGAGTAGCTCAGGGCGGTGCCCAGCCCAAGAAGGAGGCGTCGGGCAGCGCAGATGGCAGGGCCTGGCTCAGCCACCATGAGGAAGGTGATGGCGTAGATGAGGAAGATGCCCGTGAGGAGGATGTAGCTGAGCTCACGGCCTGAGGCCCGGACAATGGGGGTATTGTGGTGCCTTATAAAGGTGACCAGCACAGAGGCAGTAGCTGCAATGCCTGCCACAGCCAGCAGGAGGGGCGGGATAGCCCAGGGAGAGGCCCAGTCAAGGCGGATGACAGGTGTGGGCCGACAGCCAGTATGATTCAGTGTGGGCCTGGCTCCTAATGGGCAGGCCTCACAGGTAAATTCATCCACCCGGTAGCGGTAGCCATCGCAAGGTTCACAGTGCCAACAGCAGGGGACACCTTTCACCATCTTCTTTCGCTCCCCAGGCCCACATGGGAGGCTGCACAGGGAAGTCGGTGGCAGCAGGGGGCTGCCTGACCACTCCAATTCTTCTACCTGAGGGTAGAGGCTACAGGGAATCACCTTGAACACACTTTCTTCACCTTTGGGGGGGCCTCCTGGACCGCTTCCTAGGATCATCTTTTTAAATAATTGAAGGAAGTGCTAAATTAGAGTTAGAGATGAGTGAAAATCAAGATGGCACGTTTTCCCCATCCAAGTGCCTGGACCCCCCGAAGTCTACTCATGGAGCCCAGCTTGACCTCGAATCTCTTGAGTTACGTTGCTGCATCTTCTCAGTCCCTTCCTTCTTCACCCTCACTGGCTCTCCCTTTCTTGCTTCCCACACCCCACCCCTACCCCACTCCTGCTGGTCATCCACAGGGAAGATGTCACCATTGGTTCTGTTAGTGAGGAAAGCCCCGAAGGTCCACGAAGGTACCAAACCTGCCGTGGCAGGGGCGTCCCCCCAGAGCTGCCTCAGAATCTGACCATGAGGACTCTGAAACTGTTTGTTTCTTAGTCCTGTGCCCTTCCCACCCTTCCCTGCCCCTCAGCCACAAGCCCCACTCACATTGAGCTTCAAGGATTCAGTCCACTGGCCCACAGCACGGTAGCCTCCACTGCCGTTTGTCACTTGGTACTGGAAGATGTCATAGCGCCCAGGGGCGTCCCCATTCTCATTGAACATCACAGGGGTCCCTGCACTGCCTGGAGGTGGAGGAGCTCCCCTGAAACCACATCTCCCTGCCCTGTTTGCCTACTGCCACCGTCCAAGCCTGCCCAAATCATGAGTCCAAAGAGAGACTCCATCTCTGACTGATCCACTCCATCGCTGACGCCTGTCTGAACTAGGAAAACAGTTCAGGGCCTAGGTGGGTGGGTCATCACAGGGTTCTTAGAAGAATCAAATGAGCTACCACATGGAAAGCCCTCTGCAAATTTTTTTTTACAAGCTCTTTATAGACACAATTAGAGATAACTAAGTGGCCCACTGGATAGAGTCCTGGACCTGGAATAAGAAAGATCCAAATTTAAATCTGACTTCAGACACTTAACAAGCTGTGTGACCCTGGGCAAGTCATTTCACCTCTGCCTCAGTTTCCTCAGTTGTCAAATGGAGATCAGAATGCTGGGAGGCTCCATTGAGATTACATTTGTACAGTGTTTTGCAAACTGCAAAGAGCCATATAAATGCGTCCCTATAAGTCCCGCTGTTTTGATGGGGAGTTTTATGTGTGTACGTTATTTAAACAAAGGAGATAACTGGAAAAGCCATGCATCACAGGCCTACCTGATGCCACCGTTCCCATAACTCCCACACACTCAGGTCGAGTAGAGCATAAACTTCTTAAAAGTCAGCTCTGCCAACATAGAGGCCTACTGTGCTAAGGCTTCCCAGCTCTGCTAGAAGGACCCCTGATTTTTCATAACAGTGGGAAAAGGTGAGTGTGAAGTCTATAATGTCAGACCTTCAAGAGCACATATTCCAACTCCCTCATTTTATTAAAGAGGAAAGTGAGGCTGAGAGGAGGAGAAAAGGACTTGTTCAAGTTCCCAAACCAATGACTTTCAGAGCCAGGACTTGGACCCAGGTCTCCTAATGCTCATTTCTCAGAAGGTTCGAGTTTTGTGAGCCTTCTAATAATTTCAAGCAAATGATCATCCATTCTTTCCCCCGGGGCTCTGTCTGTCTGGTTGGTTGACCCCAGCTTACCATTGAAGTGAACTGCTCGGATGTACTGCAGGAGTGTGCGCCCATTGGTGGGGCTCATGGCAGGACAAAGCCCAGTGTAGCCTGGACACAGAGCCTGATGCATGCTGTGGAGGGCATGAGCGATGGCGTAGACGGCGTCAATCACAAACTGCACCTTGCCCTCCTGCTTGTAGGCTGAGTCTCGCCCAATCCTCTCTTCACCTGTGCCCGGGGAGAGACAAGGATTTGTGTCCAGTCTTCCTGGTCCAGCCCCAGGCCACAATGCCTGCTCCTCTCTTGTCCCTTCCCCTTACCCGTGCACTTGCGGGTGGCAGCATCATCAGATTGGGCACCAAAGCTCGTCGTCAGCTTGCAGTTAAAGTTGTCCTCCCAGAACTCGGCAAACCAGATGTTGCGCCGGTTGTTCTCCAAGGAGCGGGTGGTGAAGTACTGGTCAAACCCTGGTTGGCAGAAGGAAAGATCCAGCCCCAGATTCAAGGAAAAGGAGTGAAGAGGACATGCCCGGGGTGGGGAGGGGAGGGGGCCTCCAGGCAGTGGCAGGCTTCGAGGTCAGGTTGGTTCACTGCCCTCCTTGATCTTATCAGGGTTGCAGGGCAATGCCTCTCTGGCTAGGGAGAGAGAGATGGAAATAAATGAAGGGGATGTGAAACCTCATGGCTGGGGATAGTCTCTGACTTAGACTGAGCTAGTATTGAAAATGGGTAAAATTAGGGAAGGAACCACATCACACCATCTTTTATTTCCTTCACAGGCTCACTTGAGGGTGACCTTTAGATGTGGTTTGGTAGATATTGAACTTAACAATTTTCAAGGCTTATGACTGAAGAAGGTGCCAAATGCCAATCCCTTGTGGTGCCTTTTCCAACCTCGCCTTCAAAGAGTCCTCTCTGTTTTCCCAGTACTGCCCCCATGTTCACATCAAACACTTCCTCTTTTTGAGAATCCCCTTCTACATTTTGAGTATCCAAAGAAGCTACTCACCATCAATGGAAGCCCGCTTGGGAAGAATAGTGATGGCACCCACTGCCACATCCTCAACGTTCAGAATGGGGGAGGTCTTAGCCCCCCAACTGTCTGAGCCCACCCACAGGAAGTGGCCTGTCAGGTTGGCCTTTTGGGCAGCTTCCAGGACCCGCCTAGAGAGCCAAAGGGAGCCAAAAGAAAGATGAGGCTTGGGGAGGGGGGGGTGTGGAGGGAGGAGAGCCTGAAGTCTTCGAATCTGTCAGCTGGATCACTCTCCACCCTCCCTCCCTCCAGTACATGCACTTCACCCCAAGCAGACAGAGCTGAATTGCAGCAGTAGGGTAAATAATAACTCCTGTGTGCCCTGTGGGTCCTTGAGTCCTTGTGGACCAGTGGTAAGAAAGAAAACGGTTTCTCGGGAGAAGCAGCCTTCGGTTCTCTTCAACAGAAACTGTCCTGTCTTTCTGGGTCTGGCCTCTCCGTGATTCTTGAACCAAGGGTCCCTCCCTATTATAGCAGCCCCATCTCCTTACTTGATGTCATCCTCGATTGCAAAGATGATGATGCCCCGGGCATTAGGCGTCTCCATGAGCCTTTTGATGACCTTGTCAAATTCTCCAGGCTTTGGTTCCCGGGGGATTTTGATCGACTGAGCAATGCAGACGCCTCCTGGGTCCCACCCCAAACAAGAGATGTGGCCCATTTCACTTCACACCTAGCCCTCCTCTCCCCAACCCTTGCCCATATGCTGCTTTCAGCTGTCTGAGGTCCTGCATCCATTGGTTTCGCAAGGAGAAACAGACTGAGACCTTAGCTCAGTTGTAGCCTGGACTGGGGAGAGAACCCTCAATCTCATGAGTGAGGAAGGGTGGGGGGAGGTCTCCCAAGCCTCAGGAAGTCCCCTGGCAGAAAACCGGGTCTAGCCACTCGCCCTCGGTGGTCCTGTAGCTGGTAAGGCCTATCTAGTCTATGGGAGGGATGGGGAGGATCCTCTGGGAACTAGAAAACTACCTGGGGGCATCAAGCATTGTTTTGTTGGGGGGTTTTTGTTTTTGTTTTTGTTTGTTTTGTCATTGTTCATTTTTCTTGGTGGAGCAGCGGCAAAAGCCAGTTAAAGGATGTGGCTTCCAATCATCCCTTTGCCAGGTGTCCTTGAGACACTCGTTTCAGCTCTCTGGGCTGCCTCCGTTTTTATTCTCGGTCAAATGGGGGACTGGGTGGGAAGAGCTTGGCCTAGCTGACCTCTCTGGTGGCCTCAGTTTCCCAGGCAGATTCTCCCAACCCCTTGCTCCTCTGCTGTACTCACCAGCTTCTCGGGAGATCTGCACAAAGGCCTCAACCCCGCTCTCCCCATAGTTGCCCTCAGAAGCCAGAGTGGACACATAGTTCCAGCCCAGAGCCCGCACAACATCGACCATGGCTTGAGCTTGGTAGGAATCTGGTGGGACCACCCGGGAGAAGAAGTCATAGCGGGCATTGTCGCTGAGCTCGGGGGCTGTGGATGCATAGCTGATCTGAGGGATCTGGGGGAAAGAGTTTGGTCTCCGTCAATGGGTTGGGAGTGATGCCCCCCCCACCCCCACATCCAACACACACACACACACACACACACGCACACACACACACACACACACACACACACACACCCCCCCCCCCCCCCCCCCCCCTCTCCCCCCCCCCTCCCCCCCCTTCCCCCCCTCCCCCCCCCCCCCCTTTCTCCCTCCTCTCTCTCCTCTCCCCCCTCTCTCCCTCCTCTCTTTCTCTTCTCTCTCTCTCTCCTCTCTCTTTCCTCTCTCTCTCCCTCTCTCTCTCTCTCTCCTCTCTTTCTCTCTTATCTCTCTCTTCCCTCTCTCTCCTCTCTCTCTCTTTCTCTCTCACTCTCCGCCCCCTCTCCCTCCTCTCTCTCTTTTCTCCCTCTCCTCTCTCTTTCCTCTCACCTCTCTCTCTCTTTCCTCTCTCTCTCTTTCTCTCATTGTCTCTCTTCTCTCCCCCCCTCGTTCCCTCCTTGCTCCCTCTCTTCTCTCTCTCTCTTCTCTCTCTCTCCCCCTCTCTCCTCTTCCTCCTCTCTCTCCTCTCCCCCACTCTCTCTCCTCTCTCCTCTCTCTCTCCCCTCTCTTCTATCTCTTCCTGTCTGTCTCTCCCTCTCTCTGTCTCTCTCTATCTCCTCTCTCTCTCTCTTCTCCCTCCTCTCGATCCTCTCCCCCCTTCTCTCTCACTCTCTTTCTCTCTTCTCCCTCCACTCTCTCCTCTCACCCCCTCTCTTCCTCCTATCTCTCTTCTCTCTCACTCTCTCTTCTCCCTCCTCTCTCTCCTCACACCCCCTCTCTCCCTTCTCTCTCTCTTCTCTCTTTCCTCTTTCTCTCTCCTCTCTCTCTCTTTCTCCCTCCTCTCTCTCCTCTCCCCCA